GAGCACAATGAGGGCAATCTGACATCCACTTTCCATTAACCTGCTTGCATTGAATTATAATTATTGAATTTCAAATAGTCCCTTAAGCCTTACACTGGGAACACACTGCCTGCATTGCATGAGCATGGCGGCTGCCATTGTTGAGCTGCTGTGAAGAATCACGAGTGTGTGTTCACACCAGCTGAGTCTCTACTGCTGCAGCTCTATCTCTCTACATAGAGTTTATGGGTTACTGGAATGTTGAATTTCTTTTCATTATTAATTAATTAATTTATTTTTGACAGAAAATAAATGCAGAAAGGTTGCAATGGTTAAAATATATACTTACAGTATATTTTTTCATGTTTGTGACACATTCACATTCAACCGAGACATAGAAACTATAATGGACACCCTCCATTATAGTTTCTTTATATGTGAGACACCGTGTGTCTGCTTTAACCCTTTAACATATGCAATAAAAACCAACATGTTCCACAGCTGCAATGCACATGCCACACATCCAGTGTGTTCCTGGCTTTACTGAACAAGGGTATCGCATCACTGTAACACATTACTAACACTGCTTGTCATTACAGTGGGGTTGATAAGGTTAGTACCATCGTGCCTATATAGTGACCCAAACATCTCAGGCAACCTTTACTGCAGCCGGAGACACCTCACAGAAGCAGAGGGCAGATGGGTAAATTGTTCCATAGCTCTGTCTAACACCACAAATTGTTTTTAACACTTCTGTTTGTGCGTGGATTAAACTAACAAAAAACAAGCTAATTAGAGGTGTTGGCACTGTTCTCCATACTGAAGCTAATGGGTAGATAAAATCTAGACTGAAAAACAGTGAGCTGAGTTTTATGTTGAATGTGTTTCATAAATCAGCCACCAGAGGAAGACACTGAGTCCCTGTGACTCTCTGATGCCGTCAGTGCTTCTGAGACACTGTGCCTCTGGTACAGATAGACTGGCAGGGCTTGGTGCAATAAAAACATATTAAACACAATTTTGGATAACAGTGGACTTGGCATGGAGGCATTCACTATAGGCTGTAGCTTCATATACCCTTTTCACACCAAAATGAGTCGCTATTAAACCCACTAAAAAGGCAGCTGACTGCTTTAACACTGCCAGCCGAGTTTGCCTGAGAGGACACACACACCTGCAGGGAGTAATGTCATCAGAGCACTCACACACAGACACAGGGTGAAACTGGGAGATGCATGCCATCTGCCATGCAGACTGGTAAAACCAATCCTTCATGTCACATCTCCCCCGGGTTGGTGCTCCTGTAAATTTCTGAAACTTTGTATGAGATGCTTCGATCAGTGATTTGTGTCTTTTTGAAACTTATCTCGTACTTTGCTCACTCTTCTTCCCTGAGTGCACTGTAGCCGCTGTGTTTCTGGTGCACTGTGCTGGACCGGTGACAGGTGTGTTTACAGTGTCTATGCTCTGAAAGATGTTACAGCACAGAAAAGAGCAAAAGTTAATGTGTTCACCCGGGTGTTGTGTTTACATCACTGCTGAGAGATGATACCTACTGCAGTCATTTGACCTCGGAATAAATGCTGATTGTTATGTTAGCGGATCTTCGTTTCATTTTTTTGACCAGTGTAAAAGGGGCTATAGACAATATACAGAGCCTGTTGGCAGAATTAATAAAGAGTGAAAACATAGCCAGGCTTGTCCTTTAAAGTTACTTATTGTACCATTTCACATGTATACTGACTGACAAAAGACAGAGGATTTTTACCAGGATTAAATGTCAGAAAAACTGAGCTCAAATGTATTTGGCTAAGGTGTATATAAACGTCCATCTGTATTTCTGTCTGTAAAGGCATTATGGGAAATGATCATTGGTCGCTCTTTCTGTAAAGTCCATTAAAAGGTTTCTTCTTTCTTCTGAGACAGTTTCTTAGAAATGTGTTTGTCTGATGTAATCAGGGTAATTTAGTTTTTCAGATTCATCTCTAATCCAAATGTTTTTCAAACTAGGAAAAGAGGACTGACCCTAAAGGCGGAGCTTAGTGTGCTGTGGCCATAACACCACTGCCAGCACCAGTCAGGAGAAAGTCTTTTCACTCGATGTCTTTGCATCATCATGTAATGATTAGGTTCTGCCTCCCTTCATGTATCTTCTCTTCCCCTCTGACTTTTGAAGCAGTCTCTGAGCTTTCACTTGCAGATTTCCTGTTGTGTGCTCAGATCAGGTTTTCCCTCCTGCTGCTGACTCTCCTGCTGTGTATTAGCATGAGACCAGACTGCATTGTGATGCTGGACAGATTACAAAATACCCATTTCCACCTCTGATTGTCCCAGTGTGGTCAAAGCAGAGACAGATTAACAGACCTGGGCGTGGGAGGGAGGGGTTTAGTCCTGGTTTACCCCAAAAACTGAAGTTAAAAGATACAGATAAACCAAAACAGGAATGTACAGATTCATTTATTTTTGTGTTTCCTGGTGTCACACAGATGTCACCACATATAATGTATATATCACGCCAGCAGTCTACAAATGTCTGCACATTCACTGACTTTTGTGTGGCAATTGGCAACGATTTTATTAAAAATAAAATGGAAAAGCACAAAAGTGAAAGGATTTGTATGAAAAAGTTGGAGGACAAGGAAATAAAAATAAAAATGGAAGGAGTGATTCATAACCTGAAGACGCAGGAAATCTTATCTAGCAATAATAACTGGGTCAAATAAAATTTAATATGTAATATATTCCTTTGAAGAGGTTCTAGGTACTAGGTTCTAGTACATCTTATTTGAAAGGAGCATCTGTTTCAAGGAAACAAGTGCTTTTAAATTCAACACAACTACAATTACAAAGTTGTTTCCAGGACAAATCCTATAATAAATAATAATAAATGATGATGAAACCACAGACCTGTGGAATAAATGTAAAGCCATGACATTTCATCTTTCAACATAAAGGTTTAAATGCTGTTTCAAATCCCTTGTTAACAGAAATAAAATTCTGATCGAGAAGTGATAAATCCTCTATTGATTATGTATTTGTTTTGTTCACCTAAAACAGTTCAATCAAAAATATACTGAGTCTAAAATACTGAAATCAACTTATAAAATATTTACTGGGTTTTGAACTGCATGTATCCCAGGTCGCTGACTGCCCCAAAGTCCTAGAAAAAAAAATAGTGAAACATTATCTGTGTTTAGCTAGAACTCTGCCAATATAGAAATTGTGGTTCTTCTTATTCTTCTTATTTTCAACTTTAACTTGACTTTTTTTGCTTTTATAATTTGTATGTTTGTGTTGCATGTCCAAGAAATAAAGGTAGCGTAAGGGAAAAAGAGGGAAATGGACTTTGTCACATTTCACATATTCTAATGTGTTCTATCGAAAGCTCAGTGACAGATACAACATATTGTACTGTATGTTTACTTGGAGGCTCAACAAAAAGATGACTGACATACATTTCTTCACAGAAGGGGGAACATGTTTCCCTAAAGGTGGATTTCCTTTAGCTGCAGGGTCATTAACATCTGAAAGCAGGACTGGATGGGTGAGTAAGGTTAACATACATGTGTATGAGGGAGTCAGTGACAGAGACGGAGAGAGGAGGATGGGGGGTGAGAAACAGGGAGAAAAGATGGATGAGGAGAGGAACAGATTAAATTTCTTTTGAGTTAGCTTTTTCTGTCAATAAAATCCTACTAACACATGGTTACTATTCAGTGAAAAGTGTTTATCTCCAAATGTGGTCATTTTGATTTTTTTTAGATAATCTAAATGTGTGTGAATGTGTGAAAATTGTCTTCTGAAGGAAAATGAAAAAGGCCGATGGATTATCTGAAAACTACTACTATACATGTTTTCATATGGAAAGAGAAGTTTCTTTCTAATTTAATTTATTGAAATTTTATTTTTCATTGTATTTTAAACACTTTCCACTGTTGAATCCATCCAAATATTTCAAGACTGACGAAAACAGAGCGATCAAGAGTAGGCGGTTTCTGGAGCCCCTCCCCCTGCAAGAGAGTCACCTGGAGAAAAGAAAGCTCATATCTGTAGGGAACAGGCAGCAGAGGTAGTCAGTTTAACACTGAGAGGACCAGAGGGGGATTAACTGGGTTCATGTGAATTCTGTTTTTCAGATCTCCCTGTAACAAACCTTGTAACCTTTAGGCCTCTTTGTTTTTTAAAAAACTGCTACTGGGGAAAAGAAATAACTTAGGGACAATTTGACTTTTGGGAACATCGGAGCTTTGGGAATCTTGCTCTGGATGTTTTTGTCCGCTGTTAATCTTTCTTCATCCTGCTGACCTTTTCTCCGAGTGTTTTTGTGAGTGTGAGTTTCAGCTGTGGACAGAGCTCCATTGAGTGTTGTGGATCTTTTCGGTCTCTCCGGTAAAATGAGTTGGATGCAGCTGCTCAGGTGAGTCTGCAGACAAAATAAAACCTTCTTTTAGACGATGTTGTTGTGGCGTGAATATTTTGTAGACGAATATTTTGTTAGTTTTTTTTTAACTTGAACGTTAGTAAAGTTTGGTTTTGTGTTTTGCAGGAGTGTGTTCTGTGCAGTGATCTGTCTCCACGGTGCTGCTGCTCTGCCGACCTCAGGTCAGTTTATTACATCTACATACAAACGTCTTTCTCTGTGTTTGGCGCACAAACACACTCAGTGGGCATCAAATGGGCTAGAATCCAAAATTTTCATTCCAGGTCTGAGGGTATGTGAATATTTTTAACATCACGTGAATGTGAATCTATCCATGACTTTATTTATTTCTAGGCTGTGACAGATGTTTAGATATAGATAGATAGATGTACAGAAAACAACAACAAACTAAATATCTATAAAAACTGAATTTAAAGAACAATGCCAATATTTTATTTGCTTTTATTAGCACCTTATCTCTATTTTTTTGCTGAGAAATGGAAACAAATATCGCAAAATCAAAGTTTTGGATATATATTTCTTCTTCTTCAATAGTTGGTTTCCCTGTATGATTGATCACAGAGAACACAAATCTGTAGTCATGTTATGTCTCCACCCTCAGTATAGAACTTATTTCCAGGATAAAGACTAACGTGCATTTTAATTTTCAGGCTGTGAGGGAGCTGAGTGCAACAGAGGCCTGCCCTCTTCTTCATCTTCTACTTCTCCTCCTTCTTCTTTGGTGGTGAAATCCCAGCAGCCTTCCCAGGACTTTCTGGGTCAGTTTACCCATGTGAGCTTACCAAACAGTGGGGACCGTAAACACCGCGACGCCAGTGCCGTCCTGCCTTTCATCGGCCTCACAGGCAGTAAGTTCACACTTTACTACTGTATGTTCAGATGGAGGTGATGAACTCCAGAAACCAACAATGTCTCACTTCACCCAGAACACTGCAGCTCATCACAGGTTTCTGTCTGAGACTGAGCCATTTCCAAATGCTATGAAGAATATTTCCAACAATAATCAACCTGTTTCAAGAAAGTTTGGACATCAGTGTCTGTGTGAAGACATAAAGATCATGAGTGGGTTAAAAAGTAGGAGTAGATACTACTGTTGGAGACCAGCTTGTAGACAACCCCCTTCACGTAGAGCAGCTCTGAGGCCTGCTGCTGTTAAAACAGGCCCCTGCCTTTATAATGAAGAAAAGTGAAACTAGAATTTAGAAACTGTCTTTAACATTTCCTGTGGATAAATTTAAACATTTCACTACACTAGCAATTTTTTTCCTCTTATTGACATCATCACATACAAGAATCTAATATAGCAGACTTGATAAATGACCCATAAAAACTGCGACATAAAATGGTTTAGATGAAATGATCAAATACAGAAATAAAAGAAAGAAATCCTATTCAACAAAACATTTAGAAAAGGGTTTTGTATTTAACTTTAATGAGGAGTCTGTGGATGTTTCAAGTGATCGTCACATTAGTTTTAGTGTTCTTTCGTTATTTTCAGATGTTTGTTTTCACTCTCAGTGTGTGTTTGCTGATGTGAAGCAGAGGCTGGCAGGAATGTGCTGCCAGATAGAGAGTCTGGTTTATCTCACAGATACAGATCCAGGGAGACAGAGGCTCACTCTTAAGCCTTAGATAGCAAACTAATATCCAATCAGGAATTTGATCTTCTCCTGTAAAATGAATGTGCTCTGATATATTGGAATGAAGAAATGAGGTGTTGTGTCAGAAGCTTGTTCGTGCTCAACCGGAGGAGATGGAGAGAAACTCAGAAACTTAAACTACAGTAACTGACTGGGAGTTAAAGTCATCTCTATTTCTCGAACTGAAAACTAAGGCCCTGTTCAGACTTGGTATTAACATCTGTCTCGGGTGATTTGGTCACAAGTGGACAGCTCTACGTGCATGTGTGAACTTGTCTAAGACGCACTGAGGATGCACTTGAGATCCGATCACTAAGACCACATTCAGAGGTGGTCTAGAATAAACCCCATAAGAAACCCTCATAAACATCTGACACCTTTGATCCCACTGCTATTGGCTAATTGTGATCTAATCTTACCAAAATTATTTCATGTTTGAAATGTAAAAGCCTCCGTTTGGGTTGGATACAAAAGGCACAGTGGTTTAAAATGGTTTTGGTGAGTTTGGGATAGTGAAAATTTTCAACTGTGTGAGAGTAAAGGATTGTTTTATCATACAAACTGGTATACAGATGTTTTCAGGTGTTGTTGGATGCAGCTCTAATGTCAGTCTTTGTTTTTTCTTGCAGGTGCTGAGCAGAGTCGAAGCTGCTGTAAGAATGGAGGGACATGCATCCTGGGCAGCTTCTGTGCCTGTCCTCCATTCTTCACTGGAAGGAGCTGTGAGTATGACCAGCGCATCAGGTAAGCAGCAAGAAAATGACACAGCAACACTTGGCTGCTCACTGGACGGCAAATACATCCTGAAATCAAAGCTATCATTAAGTCAGTCATCTACCTCAAACTCATGAATCAGAGCAACTTGCTCTTATTGTATCCTCACCTTATTTAGGCCTTTCTTTCTTATATGAAAGTAATCCTGCTGATTGTTGTCTGTGTCCATGGTTACAGTGCTAACAGGAACTGCCTGTAATCATTTACCAAAATGTTAAAAATATACAGGCTAGGTAAAAAACAGCGCTAAGCTAACTGACATCAGCCAAAGCATGATGGGAACAAAATGTCCCTTCAACATTCTTCATATACTGTATTGTTATGAGAGATCCTCCATCCACCCAGAGTATACAGTCCTGTTTCCAGGAATGAGTGAGTGAAAGAAACTCCATGAACAGCTGGTCACCAGGGACAGAAGAGAGGAAACTTTTATTAATCGTAGGTTTGTTATTTGCATGTTCTCCATCTCTGTGCAGGAGCTGTGGTGTGATTCCTCATGGTGAGTGGGTTCAGAAAGGATGCTCCTACTGTCGCTGTGGTTACGGTGTCCTGCACTGCTTCCCCCATGTCTTCCATAAAGACTGTGGTAAGACACATTTTACACACCAGACACACGTGGCCTGTCCTGGCTGATACTGTGAAACTTGCTCCAGAGAGATAATCCATCAGAGTCAACGATAGGGGCCAGTTAGAGTTGAGTTATTATTCAGTAAAGGGGTTGTGAGCAGAAGTATTTCCATGGGAGTTGGTATTTTTCCATCTGTTCATTCACCAGCTGAGGTGTTTTTTTTTTTTAGAAGAATAGAAGGCAGCTTTGTTCAACCAAGTTGTGGACGAGCTGTTAATACCTGACAGTCAGACAGACAAACTGCGTTGTTTCATCCTTAAAACAAAAATATCTTCCCAGGTGTTCATTGTGGACTCCCACTGTGTGTGAATACAGCTCTGAACGACCACCACCCCCGCCTATTCATTTGCAATTCAAGACTTTTATTCTAAAATGCAAAGCAATGTTAGAACCATTAACTCCTGCACAAAGTCACCACAACAAAGACACAGAGGAACATCACAATAACACATTTAAATGTAAAGATACATTTTTCTCTCTATTTCTCTCTATATCCACACTCATCTGCTATTTTTCTTATCCACAATCACAGAGTGAGTCAATAATGTAAAACGTCAGCTTGCCCACAGATGTGCCCATGTCTCCACATTGTTATATCTCACATTGTTGCTTTACAGTGAAAACCATGTATCTGGTGAAATTAACAAATACAAGTTATGGTACAGCAGCAAAAAGTCAAACAGTACAATAGATTAATCGTAAAGATAAATAATCATAGGAAACTGAAAAAAAACACACTACTACTACTTATGAAGCATGGAAACTTAAATATAAAATATTAAATAGTGAATTTTTTTTATCAATACCTGAAATATCACAAATAAGTTTCAGAGAAAATCAGGGAGTTATGACGAATAATTCACTGTAGTGTGAATCCAGTTCTTCACTGTTCTTCTGTCGCTGCTTTCCAGATGACTCGGGGGAGGTGCACTGGTATCACTCATCAGCTGTCAGGACAGTTCAGAACAAGTGCTTCCTCATCGCAACACTGCTTCTGCTCCTCTTCCTCTGATGGTTAAAAAAACAGTGCAACACTGAGCTGTGGACTGCAAGATCTCTCAAGCTGGTTAGTTGAAAATCAGGAGTTGCTGCTTCCTGAGAGAAAACATGTTACTTTCAGCTTCCTTGAAACTGATATTCTAGATTTTAAACTCTGTATTCAGAGTGTTGTGGTTTATGGGGACCTTCTTCTACACGAAACTCAGCTTTCCATTGATGCATCCTGTTTCAAACTCCAAAAGCTTTGAGGATAACCCAGCAAAATGTGTGGAGATGTTATTGAGGACTGAGGCTGAATGTGCTTAAACCATTGGATCAATTTTAAAATTTTTCAGGATATAATTCAGCTGGTACATTTTATAGTTTATAGTGCATTTCCTTTTGTTTCAACAAATGTTAAGAAATTATTAAGTATGTAAATATCTTGAAAATACTGTCAATAACTCCACTGACAGATTTTAACACTTTAGGATTCAGTATTGAATAACTTGACAAAGCAGAAAATATAGTGTTGATTATAATAAAAACCAGATTAAAATAGAAGTGATCAAAGCTTAGTATTTATCTGTTTTTCCCCATTTAAAACTTGTCAGCTTTGCACATAAATTGATGCTCAGTCTCTTTTAAAACCTTGACAGAGTGTGTGTCATCGATTCTAGAAACGTTTCCTTCCAGTGGAAGGTTGTCTGTGTGTCTATGATTTCTTGAAGAACACAATGTGTGTGAAGGAAGTTGTACATAAGATTTTAATGAAAAAATATGTTTTTTGTAATTTTAGGATCTGTAACTGAATATCAGCTGCTTTTTTTCTTTGTTAAAGAAGATGCACATTTTATTGTTTTTAACTTTGCGTCTTCTGTCTGTTTGCACAAACTGAGCTGATTTGACATTTTGTCCATTGAATATAAACATATATGCATTATATGTTTATTAAAGATTTATTGTTCCATGTTGCATGAGTTTTGTGGTTGTGTTGTTTCTGACAATATGACACTGAAAGTAACATGAAAGTATGAAATATATGAAAAAAAATAACACTTCCATTAGCAAATTATGTTTCCAAGGAAACCTGAAAAACAAATTTATTCATTTTCAAATGGACTCTTTGTTGTCTTCAAACTATGAGTGTGTGTTTGTGTGTGTGTGTGCTATCTGTAGGTATTTCAGAGGGAGCTGTTCTATGTCTCTTATCTCTAGAGTTTATTGATGAGGTTTGAATTGATTATCAGCTACTCTTTTATCTTAAACAAACACTTCAGCTGTTGTTCTGCAGTAGGTTGGCCTGCCAGCTGAAACAGCTCAGGTTCAAAATGATCAGGCAGAAAAAAAATAGAAAAATATATTATCATAAATTATCCTTAAAGGTAAATTCTGGGTTGATTAGAACTTTTCATCTAATGTTTGTAGTTTTGTCCAGTATTTCTATCAATGATAATGACACTGCACTGTTGAATCCTGGAACACAGGTGTCTCTAAAACAGCTCAAGAGAGGAGAAGCTGATCAGACAAGTTGAAATGATGGACACACTTAGAAAAATCAGATCCAAGTTGTAATACACTGGAAGTGATACAAATAGTCATGTAGTTAAGTCCAGCGGTTCCCAATCCACAGATCAGGCCCCTCCACCTCCAAGGGCAGAAGAAAATCAAAAATGTTGATTTTTGCAAAATACCGTATCATCTCTTTGAGCATCAACCAGTTATTGAAATAAGTTTAAAAGTGTTAACATCTCATTAGGGTTGCCACCTTATTTAAAAATAAGGGATGACCCCCACCCTGCAAAGATTTTTTGAGAATTTTAAAATGCCAATATACATTCTTGCTTATAACCCCAAATTACAGAAATATCAAGGGTAACAAAAAAAGTAGCCTAATGATGATTCACAATTAGTATTGGACCAGAAAGGCAGGGAGAGAGGATTACATGCAGCAAAGGACCTTGGGGCGGTCTGGAACCCACACCACTGCGGTTTGGGTTAAGCCTTAATAACGTGCCAGGTAAACCACCAGAGTGTGTATTGCTGTCTTCTGCATTTTTCACAGCACACAGAGCTTGTCAGTCTATTGCTAGTTGATTAACTTCTCCAATCCACTTATAGACTACAACTGGTTTGGTTTTACTTGACATTACATTATTTACAGCACTTTGAGGACATAACATTAATGAAAATACGGGACAAATTGTGTCCTGAATTAACTCAATAGAGGATGCAGAATTTTGCGGAAAGTGTGGAATATTCCGTATTATATGGGACGGGTGCCACCCGTCCCATATAATACATCTCATACACATCTGAAATGTATGGTGGCCCTGAGAGTGCAATGCACTGCAACTTAAGAAAACACACGCAAATAAACAAACGCGCTGCAAATACAACACAACAGAAGTGTTTCCAGGGGACACTAAACAGTGATGAACCTGACTGGGACTTGCTGTTCAACACCCAACTGTGAAAAGTATTGAATAACAAGTGCATCCTAGGAGGTTCATCACGTTTTTCTTTTGAGGTTATTTTTTGCCTTAAAGGTTTAATGTGTAAGATCTGGCCAGATCTGACCAGAATTTTAGTTTAAAATGTTCAGAGAATGACCTAACACTATCAATAGTATGTGAAGGAGCCACAGTGTATTTCGGAGATATCTATGCTAACCAACTAGCTGAGTCCCACACCTTGTAATACCACTTTATGACACTAGATGCTTTGTGAGTCATTGTAGCATCCAGTCTGATCTCAGTCCCATGAAGGAGAGCTTCCTCCAGAGCTTGAAGTTACACTACAGCTCCCAACAAAAAAAAAAAGCTGCCCACTAGCATCACAGAAACATAGAGAAGTGCTGAAGTGCCTAGAAAGCAAGGACCGCTCTGACGAGAAACTATGTTCAACGGCAAAGAAAAGAAGAAAACACGAGTAAACCTTGGTGTGGCTTCCCACAGCTGGAGACAGCTCCAGGCAAGTAAAGAGATGTGGCTTGATGCAGACCTTGCAACTTATAGACTGGTGAGTAACATCTAATGTTGGTCTGTACCGAAAAGTATTATTAGTGAAAATGACAAACTGTACTTCAAAACAAACAAACTTCAAGTGGTATGAATGTATGATTGATGATGTCAACAGACGTTTTAGTGATTTAGTAGAATTAAGCCTGTTCCAGCAGCTGTTGTCCAGCTAGATGCGTCAGTAACTTTTCTTTTACAAGTAAGACAAAGAGAGTGTTTGATCCAGAACCTGCGGGTTCAGGAGCCACTGCCTAATACTGTATTTATTTTAGCATATTCATATCTATTTTTACTATTTATTATACACACACAACAGACCTAACATGTTGGAATATAAAGAACTTGTATGATCTAAACAAATTGTCTTATCACGTTTGTCTGTATCAGGACCAGAATTCCAGTCCAGTCATCCCCAGTCAGGGCCGAGCACCTCAATCATCAACAACCACATTACAGTAATACCTTGGAGTATTATCCCTGCAGATAACAGATATTGTCTATACTGTGAACTTTTGCACATCCTGCTCAGCAGGAGTTTTGTCAACACTTTTGTACATAGTTTTGTGTATCTATGTATATTTATCTTTTTGACTGCTGCAGTATTTTACCTTTTTATTGTTATTTCCTGTTAATGTTTATTGCATACTGCACCAAACAGCAAGCCAAATATCTTGTAAGTAAAAAACTACCTGTCAATAAACCTTATTTTCTGATTCTGCCTTTGTGATGATGTCATCATCCCTTCCTCATGCTGTTGTAGCCTGACACCCATCTGTTATGCAGTATCCCCTTGCCTTCATATTTCTATAGGTAATAAAAACATACGGTTTGTATTAGATAGCTAGATAGATAGCTAGCTAGCTAAATAGATAGATAGATATTTTATTTATCCCCTAGGGGAAGTTCATGTGTCCATTAGATCATTGTTGATAATAATAATAACAATAATAATAATAATAATAATAATAATAACAGTTGATAATAAATAAACAATAATTAGATTAGTCCACTTCCTTTGGCTGAGGTGTTGTATAGCCTGATGGCAGTGGGAACAAAGGATCTCCTGAACCTCTCTGTTCTGCAGCTCAGTGAGATGAGATGTAGTCATTTATCTCAGCTGGTTGTCCTACTTTAGGTACTGGAGCAAGACATGATGTTTTCCACAGCACCGGGACCCTCCCTCTTTGTATGCTTATTTTAAAGATCCTCTGGAGAGGCTCAGCCAGCTAGGCTGCACAGTCCTTTAACAGCCTTGGACACACACCATCCGGGCCTTTTGCTTTTCCAGGATGCAGCCTGCCTCATTACAAAGGGTTTGTAGGAAGGCTGAAGAAAAAACAGATTATGATCTGATCTGCCAAGTGGTGGTAGAGCTGAAGCAGTGACGTTTGCATACAACGGATCAACTGTCTTATTTTCCCTTGTGGGAAAGTCAACATACTGAGTAAAGGCCTTTATTCTTCCAGCTTGCTCTGGCGTCTCTGTCCGTGCGTACTGCAGTGAAGCCGGATAAATCCACACAGCGGTTGGTCAGTGTTGTCCTTGAAACACATGAGACTACACTCATGATATGCTTGCTGGGTCTTCACAAGTGCCTCCAGTTCATCTTCAACTTGTTAGCCAGGGAGTTGACATTTCCCATGAGGATCGATGAAGAAAAGGCTTATATCTCCATCTCCTAGCCTTTCGCTTAGCCCCAGCTCTGCATCCACGGAATGGCTTCTTCAGCTCAGCCGGTATGGGATGTTTAACTCCATATTGGGTAAACTTTAAAGCCAGGAGTTCTTCCTTTGTGTACATTATTTTCTCCACCGTCAGACGAAACAATGACGTAGAATAAAAAACATCAATGGACAAAAAATATACTAATATATACAAATATATTGCAAAAAACTACAAGCCACTTGTTGCCAGCGCATCATTTAAGAAAATGTTCAAGTACTCATAATTTGTTTCAGTGCTATCAACAATTTTAACTATGAACAATAAACGCATATATAAATAATAAATTATA